AAACCTTTACAAGGCTTTCAAACATAAGGGTACGGCATGTTTAACATTCCATGCTAAACATCCATATATACGGCATGTCAAAAATTAATTCCATAATAATAAATGTGCACTACAAAATAAATTATAGTACACACTTACTACTATGGAATATATTCAGAGATAGTTCAACCTAATATTTCTTGCGAAATAAAAGATCTTTATATATTCATCCTCTTGAACAGTAATGAAACCGAACAATTAAAATATATTAACTTCCCCACCTTTAAAGGAGCGTAAATTCTTTACAAGGTTTTTAAACACAAGGGTACACATGTTTAACTCTCTATCTTAAACATGCATGCACATACGACGTTTCACATATAAATTTCATAATAGTAAATATGCACTACAAAATAAACTATAGTACACACATACTACTATGAAATCTATTCAGAGATAGCTCAATCTAATATTTCTTGCGAAATAAAAGATCTTTATATATTCATACCCTTGAACAGTAATTAAACCGAACAGTTAAAATATATTTACTTCCCCACCTTTAAAGGCGCGTAAAACCTTTACAAGGCTTTCAAACATAAGCGGGTACGACATGTTTAACATTCCATCCTAAACATGCACATACGGCATTTCAAAAATAAATTTCATGATAATAAATGTGCACTACAAAATAAACTATAGTACACACAAATTACTATGAAATCTATTCAGAGATAGCTCAACCTAATATTTCTTGCGAAATAAAAGATCTTTATATATTCATACTCTTGAACAGTAATTAAACCGAACAATTATAATATATTTACTTCCCCACCTTTAAAGAAGCGTAAAATCTTTACAAGGTTTTTAAACATAAGGGTACACATGTTTAACTCTCTATCCTAAACATGCAGCGCATACGGCATTTCAAAATTTAATTCCATAATAATAAATGTGCACTACAAAATAAACTATAGTACACACAAATTACTATGAAATCTATTCAGAGATAGCTCAACCTAATATTTCTTGCGAAATAGAAGATCTTTATATATTCATACCCTTGAACAGTAATTAAACCGAACAGTTAAAATATATTTACTTCCCCACCTTTAAAGGCGCGTAAAACCTTTACAAGGCTTTTAAACATAAGGGTACACATGTTTAACTCTCTATCCTAAACATGCAGCACATACGGCATTTCAAAAAATAATTCCATAATAATAAATGTGCAGTACAGAATAAACTAGTACACAATTATTATTATGAAATTAATATAGAGATAGCTCAACCTAATATTTCTTACGAAATAAAAGATCTTAATATATTCAGCCTCTTGAACAGTAATTAAACCGAACAATTAAAATATATATATTACATCTCTACCTTTAAAGGCGCGTAAAACCTTTACAAGGCTTTTAAACATAAGGGTATACATGTTTAACTCTTTATCCTAAACATGCAGCACATACGGCATTTCAAAAATTAATTCCATAATAATAAATGTGCAGTACAGAATAAACTAGTACACAATTATTATTATGAAATTAATTTAGAGATAGTTCAACCTAATATTTCTTACGAAATAAAAGATCTTAATATATTCAGCCTCATGAACAGTAATTAAACTGAACAATTAAAATATATATATTACATCTCTACCTTTAAAGGCGCGTAAAACCTTTAAAATGGCTTACAAAGAATACGCTACATATATATTAACTATCATGTATTTCACACAATATTTATTATACACGTAATAACATTTCTTCCCCACCTTTTATCCTTACATAATATATGTAACTGTAAATTGTGATATATACTCAATATATACTTTTTAACTAAATATTATATAATTGTGTAATACATCTAATTACTATAAAAACAATATATATATATATATATATATATATTCTCAGAACTACCTGTTCTATACATTTATTAGTAATTATCAACACTTTTTTGTTACATTTATTACACAGAATAAAAGGGGGCGGGAAATGTTATTTAATAAAATTGTTTATTATAAATTTAACATTTAGCTGTATAAACGTTAATTTATTATATAATACAAACAGATTTTATTTATTATGGATAAAAACCTTTGACTATACATATAATTCACATATACTGTATATCTTTCCATACTCAACTTTTATATAATTCATTCTACAATATTATATGTTGATTTATTTATTTCATAAACATTTTCTTTCTTATCAAACAATCCAAAAGAACAGAAATTTTTAATGAAAAAGGAAAATTTTATGAACAAAAGAGTGAATTAATTAAATATTAAAAAATTAAAAAAGAAAATAAAAATTGAAAATATTTTATTTATTTTTTTTTTTTTTTTGTATATTAATATACTTCATCGAAAAACACAAACTGGATCTATTTGTGATATTCCTCCTCTTTCTTCACAAGACCTTGCACAGTACCAATTGGATTTATTTATTTAAAAATGAGATATAATTTTCTCTAATTACTAATGTTTGAAAACATTTATTTCATATTATAACATATTTTTAAAGCATGCCCCTGCTAAGATATATGCACGAAAAACTGATGGCATCATATATCATAATAACATATAAAAAAATTATGCCCATGTAATATATATATATATATATATATATACATACATTTATCTACAAAAAAATAAATAAAATTAAAAAATTAAAAGCACATATATATAATAATATAATAATATAATTTTACATGAATAAAATTTTGTATTTAATAAGAATATATATGTATTCCTCAAAAATAAAGTATAAAAATGACAAAAATATTTAATAAACCATATATATAATATAAAGGATACAAAAAGGTGCAACAAAAGAAATATATATATACATTATATATTAATTATTTCTTACATGATTCTTCCTTATATATATGTATATATATATATATATATATAAAGCTACAAGGGTAAGAAATAAAAATACATGGAATATAAATTTGGCTCATCATAATTAATTTTCTTTTTTTTTTTTTTTATAAAAATATTCATTACTTAATCAAATAAACATTTTCTTTTTAAAATTATATATGTATAAATATATATATATCTATAATATACTTTTTATATTTTATATATCTTGCTATTTCTTTACTTATATATTTATTCATTATTTTTATTATTTTATTTTACTTTTTTTTTTTTTTCTTGTGTGTGTGTTTGTGTATTATATTATATAACGTAAAACATTTTTTATTTTTTTAAAGAAATTAATAAAAATTATAATGTGTATAATTTTAAACATAACACTATTTAAAATTTAATTTATGATTATCTTAATTTATATACATTGAAATTGTAATGTACCTTTCACAAACAAGCCTTTAAAAAATATCATAATTTATGTGTGCTACAAAATATAATTCATATATAAACTATTATAATAATACATCCAACGTTTAATTACAACAATTTAATAATATGCATAATACATTAACTTTAATAAAAAATTATATATACTAATTATAATTTATCTGAGTCAAAAAATTTCATCTATACTCACAATTCTATAAACATTAACATTTAATCATATTTGCACAAAATCTTCACTTTTAAAAAAATAAAATATTTGAATAAATCCTCAATTCATATATATGACTCTTTTTTGTAATGACAAAACATTTCTACTCTTCCTATATGAAAATTATGACATCATTACTTGGGAGGTGTTCATCATTTTATAATCCTTTCAAACAATAACCCATCTATTTTTAAAATGCTTATCATATCAGTAAATATATCTTAAATATGAAAGTACATATCATATAAGCTTACAATATATATATATATGTATGTATATATCTATATACTCAACTTATAGTTTTAAAATTTATCATGGCCTTATACTTATCAAAGATACCATAAAATATTTTTTTATGTACTACATTATTACATCAAACATAGAGATCATAGACTTTTTTTTATAAAGAATTTTCTCATATTTAAAAAAAATAAAATTAAAACATTTTCAATATTCCTTTAAAAGCTTTATGTAATAATATAAGTACTTTCTTATAATAAATGAGGAAAACATAATGAAAATAGGTTACTCATATAACATAGATATATATTATTACTTTCAAAATGTATGATATTTGAATATCCTCATATTATGATCATTTTCCATACACAAAATAGCTAGTCAGCTAGCCAAAATCAATAATA